TTCTGATTCATAAATCTTACACAGCAAGATGTACAGCCAGTTTGGGCTTTTCTGGTATAGGGACAAAATAGCTTTTACATTTTCAACTGTACTTCAGTTTTCGGTATGAAATTGACTGTTAGACCAAGATTTAACATGGTCTGTAAAATTAAGAGAAGTATAGAGACAATGATCTTTTTCCTACGTAAATCTTACATGTTTTTTGGCTTACTGGATAGTGCGGGATTCTTAAGTTTTGCAGAGTATTTCTGAATAGCAGAACATGATTAGAACTTAAAACTTACTGTTTTCTTTAAAAAATTTTTTGTTTTGTTACTTCTGAGTGTTCGTGAAGGAATGCTTTTTTAGGAAAAGGCCAAAAGGGTTATATGTAGCCTGAACTCTTGTGTAACACAGGCCATAGTAGTTGATGTAGATGTCTATGCCTTGATTTCTGTAACTTTCATGCTGCTCTATGGAAAACACAGACTTCGCTCAGGTATACAAAACCACTGAATTGTCAGTCAAATATTTTGTTAATAAAATGGAAATTATCTGTGTTGGAGGTGTTGAAATGAACAGATTTTACCACAGTTTTGTTCAAAATCCTCCCAAGCCATTTGGTGCAGTGAAGCTTCTCTTTGTCTACAGAAGGACAAAGATAAATTTAAAATTATCAGTTTTCACACTTGTATAGTGATGGCAGGTTTTAGCAGGAGCTCTTTCATAACTTACACCTCTTTAATACCATTTGTACAGAATCTTGTTTCAATTAATTTTTAAATTTTGCTATATAAATTAAATGGATAATGAATCCAAAAAAGGTTTTTTTTAAAAAAAAAATCACCTGAAAAACCTTGATTTGAACAGACCACGCAGGCCACCCAGCTGATCTTTGCTAGAAGTGAGGGTGTGGAAACCCCCTGAGGTATGTGTGGAAGTGTCAGAGTACGTACTTCCCACCCCCTTCTGTTGATGATACAAAAATCCCCCTGTTACAACCCATTTATTGCTTCAGACTCCAGGTGAATGGGGGCTGCAGGCAACATTTCTTTGTTACTGATCGGACTAGAAACTGAAAGAAGCGACCCTTAGAATGATGAAAGAGTGAAATCAATATACCTAGAAGTTTTAACTGGGACTTGGTCAGATCGTGCCAATATTGTCGGGAACAGGTTCATTTCACTTTATAAATACTTTCTGTTTAAGTCCAGCCTGTTGAGATTTTGTTGGATGGAGATTGGTGCTGCATTAAGTAATCAGTTAATGTAATTAGCTTCCTTTCACATTTATGTAGTATTCATTCTGTGCCACCTAGCATACAATAAAGGCACCAGATATTGACTTGAGTCCATGTTCATTTGATCAAGGCACTTACAAATTTCATGCTTTGTATTTGAAATACTTGATTTTTAGTGATTCTGGCCACTAGCATGAATTTAATCAGTGGAAGATTCTTGAGATTTGTATGTCTATTAGTTCACTTTCTGTGAATTATAAGTGGCAAAATATTTTGAAATATATGTTCCTTTTGTGATAACATTAAAAAAAAAATCCATAATGCTAAGGTTGCTAGGGCTACTTAAAATTCTCTTTGGCAATTGAAAACATGCTGTTATGTCTAGAACGTAGCTAGTTTTTGCCTTATTTCTAGCTGTGCAGCTCTGATGAAATGACGTGAAATAAAATTTTAAAGGAGAGGTCTTAACACAAACTCTAATACTCACCTTTGTCAAGAACAGCATACTGGGCACTTAGGGGCAGAATACTGAAGCAGCATTAAATTTGAGAGTTTTGTAGGAGCAGCAGTTCTTGATTCACTCTCCAAAACTGCTGCTTCATAACTGTTTCTTTTTGTACACAGAGAGTGTGCGGGAGGAAGATCTAGATGCTGTGGAAGCACAAATAGGTTGCAAACTCCCTGATGACTATCGATGCTCATTTCGTATTCATAATGGACAGAAGCTAGTTGTTCCTGGGTAAGCAGTGAAAACTACATACCGAGTTATTAATTCCTTTTGTATTTCTTGGATATTTTATTTATTAAAAAGATAAAATGTCTGCTGAACAGGCTAAATGAAGCATTTAAATATATTGTAACTGAGTGACCGCTTGAAGTGACATTTTTAGAATTGGTTGTCTTCTAGTCTCAGAAGTAATTGAAAACACAGTGTAGATTTCTAATTGCTCAAATTACTCTTACGCTTCAGTCCGTTTTCCTAGTGAGAACCTCCCTTTTTTTTTTTTTTTTTGTAATAACTACAACTTCCAACTGTTAGACTTTTAATCATACCACTGCAAGTTGCTCCCCTGAAGTTTTGCTTTGTATTACCTAAGTAAATTAGCCCCTTGCACTCTTCAGGCTTCATTATTTAAGAACTTTTTTCCTTTAAAATGGTTAGGGAATAACTTTGAAACCAGGCAGTCATTTTAAGTAGGATCAAAATATCGGCTCTGCAAATTAAGTTTTCTCAGTAGAAGATTTTACAATTTTATGGAGTTTCAGCAATTAAAAACTCCTTTTACATTAAGGGTAGAAGGCAAATGACCAAACATAGTTTCCTATCTTCCAGCTATAGAAAAAGTTAATAGGTCAGCACTTGATGAAGTGCCACAAACATTCGCAAAAGATGGAAAGCTACGACAAATCATTGCAGTGTCTGTAGGGGGCAATGCATTCATGTTGCTCTACCGAAACCTTCAAGAGTAAAGAAGGTGCAGCTTTCTCCAATTCTAGTGGTGTATGTGCAGAAGGGATATGGGAAATAGTTTTATATGACCATAAGGATGACTTCTAGTTCTGTTTCTTTTCCAGGAGAGACTTTTTTTAGAGAGGAGATAGGTGCCCTAGTTCTGTAAACTTCAAATGGAGCTCTGCAGCTTGTGTGCTTTCTGCTCTTCTTACTATTTCACTCCCACGAAGCCTCCACTGTGATGATGTGCCTGTGGAAGGGCTGCAGGAGCAGACGTATGCCTTTGGGCATGCCTTTCGGCTTGAAGAACTGCCAGTAGGCTGTGGTCCATTGCTGTGCCCTCAAAGTGAAGGCCTGAGCCTTACATACAGGTTGACAAACCTTGCTGGTGGAGCAGGGGACTAGTTAGGTCTGACACGTGGGACCCTGGAACAAGAAAGGCTGCCACACTGCGAGTGGAAGGTGTGGTCTTAGTGCTGGGTTCAGGCTTGCTTCCTTGTGGGAGATGAATACTGGAAAGATCAGGTGTAGGCAGTGGAAGTCTATGGAGCAAGTTGTTGGTATGTTAGGTCAGAAATGGAGGAGATTGGGGACTAGTTGTCGTTGTTAGATACTTCAGGTTTCTGTCTTTGGATGATAGCATTGCTTTTTAAACTGTAGAACGTGTTCATTCCAGGCAAGACTACGTAAGGAAAAAGAGGAATGGAACCTGTTGCCCAAGATGGGAGCAGCTTATATCATGCTGACATGTGGCAGCTTGCGCCTGAGTCACTGCTTTCATAACACCAGTAAAAGCTTAGCATCTGCAAGAGTTTACGCCTGAGAACATCAGTGAAAGGCAAATTAGAAGGGAGGATGGGTGGGGAGGTGTACATTACAGGTTTGTGTACTCCTCTTATTGCTAAGCGCACTGCTGTACTGTGTGCCCTTTGTAGTTGATTAATTTCATCATGTTACCCCTTTTTATCACTTTTCTGTTTTCTGCTCCTTTATGACATAGGTTGCTTGTTTTTGTTTTCACCCTAGCTCTCATCTAGCCCAACATTTCTATCAGTGTTAACTTTAGCGTCTGATGCTCACCTCCATTCCTAATTCTTACTAATTTCAGATTAGTACCACTTTTTTCCAAATGTATATATTCTTTCCTTATGTATAGTCTCTGTTTACTGTCTTCAACGTCACTTCCGTATAGTCAAAAACAAACAAATAAAAAAATCCCATCCTTTGCTTTGATGCTTACAAAGAGCTAGAGGAAAAAATAAGACAGTTGATGGTCTTGCCATGTCATGCTGATGAATATTATCTCATTCTTTCTTTGTATGTCTGTTTACTTGTGTCTGTATGGCTTAGTTTTTATACTGAGATTATAACCTCTCTGACTCAATGGTTATTTTGCTTGTTTACTTCTCAACCTTTTCTCCAAAGCATAGAGCGCCTTGCTCACTGTAGTTTGATGAATGACTGTTACTGTAGCAGCCTAGTATTCTACCTGAGAAATCACGGGTGGTTTGATAGTACTGAAATGAACTTGCACAAAACTTGAGGTACGGAGCACTGGTTATTATTATATTATGCTACTATAGGAAGCTGTGTCGGCTGTGAACAGCTTCTTTGAAGTAGTTGCAGACGTGATGGCAATCACCAGCACAGTTTAAAATCGTGCTTTGGGATGCGCAAAACGTACAAGGAAGTGTTTATCTTGGAGCCATCAAGCCTCCCTTTTTGAAGGTTGATGCTGCAAACTAATAACCTAGTTCAGCATCTGGATATTAGACTTGGACTTCGTCTAAGTCTAATATGCTTCTAGAGCATTGACAGAATCGATGCTTAGGAAAGATTTAAAGCTATCTTTGGCTTGTGAGTGGTATCTTCTGTTTATCTTTCCTTTTTTTGTTGTTGTCTGTTAAGTTTGATGGGAAGCATGGCGCTGTCAAACCACTACCGCTCTGAAGACTTGTTGGATATTGACACAGCGGCTGGAGGTTTTCAGCAGAGGCTAGGTCTGAAGCAATGCCTTCCTCTTACTTTTTGCATTCATACTGGCTTGAGTCAATACATGGCCCTGGAGAGTGTGGAGGGACGAAATAAATACGAGATCTTCTATCAATGTCCAGTAAGAGAGATATGTTTATACCTGTGAATGTACTTCTCTAATGATTGATGGTGTCCCTTTTGCATGTTATCAGATACTGAAATACAGATACAGTGTAAAGGGTGTTTCTTGTAAAAAAGATGGGGATCTTTGTCCTGCTGTGGAGTTTCTGGCAGGTGGTTGTTTTTTTTTTCAAAGCATGTAGCAATGAGATTTCTAGGGAATGCCTTGATAAAGGATTACTGGAAGGATGTTAAGATCCCCCTTTTTAATATGCCAAGTATTTAAACCTTCTGGGTAATGCTTGGGAACTTGCAAGGTTACTCACACACCTATATTTTGGTTCATCTGTGGACAGCCCTGCTTGTTTCAGGGGAGAATATGGTAGTACAGGAGCTGGAGTGGTTTAGCCTGGAGAAGAGAAGGCTCAGGGGAATCTTACCGATGTTTATAAATATCTGATAGTAGGGCATAAAGTCAGAGCTAGACTCTTCTCAGCGATGCCTGCCCAGTGACAGAAGAGGAAGTGGGCAGAAGTTGAAACACAGGAAACTTGATCTGAATGCACACAAAAACGTTTTTACTGTGAGTGTGGTTGGACACTGGAACAGGTTACCTGGAGAGGTTGTATAGTCTCTGTCCTTGGAGAGAGTGAGAACCCAACTGGATGTGATCCTGGGCAACGTGCTGTAGCTAACCCTGCCTCAAGCAGAGGGATTAGACTGATCATCTCCAGAGGTCTCTTCCAGCCTCAGCTGTTCTGTGCTTCTGTTCTAAGGCAATAGTTTTGGGGGCCTTGTTTCTTGAATGATGCATTAAATCTGATTGTATATGCATGAGCCTTAGTGGTTCAAGCTGTATATTCAGCGATCACGTGAGCACTCATTGGGGACAGGCATGTGTGTTTTATATGTTTGAATATCTGACTGGGAGTATAATGATGTATTAAGCAGCCAGATTTTAGGTTTAATGAATATAGCATTCCCTAGGTTATATTTCAGGTGTTGAATTTTAACCTTGAAAGTCTAATGCTCTCCTTCTAATACATCCATAAACTTCTTTCCCTTTTAGGACCAAATGGCTCGCAATCCATCTGCTATTGATATGTTCATTACAGGTAACACTTGAGATAAAATATTCTGCAAAATGTTTTCATTGCACTGTTTAGAAAATGCACATCAGTATGACTTGAACAAAGTGAGCATTCTAAATTTTCTATGCTACTTGTAAGACTAACCTACTTTAAAACGTCAGCGATTACTTGAAATGAGATGCAAGTTTTCTCTATTAAAGCTTATCTTTCTCTGTGTCTTGTATACAAATCCTTCAGTGTACTAACCTGTCTAATGAGATGAGCAAAACCTTTAAGTTAGCCATCATGGGGGTGATCTAAGCAGTTATTAAATACAACACCTAAGTGGGCAGAAAGATTTTTATTTTTTTGTTCCCCAGTAGTTTTTACAACCATGTTAGAAGTTGAAAATATTTTGTGTCCCTTAATGAAATCTAATTAACTATAAACATAGCTGCAGAAGAAAACCTTTCTGGACTTTTTTATTTCCCTGATTGCTTTGTTCAAAGGATAAAGGAGGGAAGAGGAAAACAGTGTAATTGTTGTTTGGTTATGTGGTAGTTGGTCGTGATCATCTGTCTGACGTGTACTTTGACTGGAATAGTGGTTTGATTATTTCTTTTCGTTAATCCACTGGAATCAGTTAATTGTAGCTATGTCTAAATGAATTCCTTTCACTCAGTGGGAAAGCAGATGTGTAATAAATGACACCAAAATTAATATTAAAATTTAGCCTTGCACATTTGTTAGGATATATGTATTAATATTGCAGTGAGAAACCACATTAGGCCATACTATGCCATTGCTGGTTTGGGTTGAAGGTAGTCAAACTCTTAGCCACACTAATTTTAGGAAACCTTTCTATGCAGATTGATGGTATGAACTGATTTCAATGTGAAGTAGTCAACCTGTCATCTCTTTTATAAAGATCTTATTGCAGAATGCACTGTGTGCTTTAGAACCATCTTAGGAAAGATAGAGCAAAAGCTCAAGAGTTTGGTTACTTGCTTCTCTCCACCTGAGGATGATGTAATACTTTAAAGCTATCCTACGGTGAATTGGTATTGCTGCTCAAGGTTGCTGCTTTTATGGAATTAAGTCAATGGTGAGGTGATCTGCCATCATACGTAAATGTATTCCACTTGGCTGAAAGGGTTAATCTTGTCTCATCACAGGGTGGAGGGGAAGTTTCATATACAGCATTTATCTTTTCATTTTGAAGGTAGCAGGGTAAATTGGTCCACTTTCTCCATTCAGAGTTACTTTATACAAGGTTTGCATTTTGTGGATTAGTGGTAGAAAGGAGGATAATAAACTTGGGAATTCTTTAGACTTCCAAAAGATCAAAGTACAGTACACATAGCTCTTGCTCAAAGGAAGAAGTGGTAAGTACACTTAATCTAACAGGAGTGGTAGTACTTGATAACGCATCAGTGAAGGTGAGGATAATGATTTCTTAGTATTTCAGCTTAAATTCGAGTTTGTATCAGTAATATTGACAAACAGTTGAAGAACTCTGTACTTTTCCATTGAACTCTATATTGCAATGCTTGGAAGATTTATGGCTGAGAAATTCTTTTATGGAGAGCCGATATGTCTTCTATGAAACTCTTTCCTTTGAGAGTTAAATGTGACAGCTTGACTGTCTGCTTAGAAATCAAGCTGTTCCTAAATAAGGGCTGTAGGTGTATGAAAATCCCAGGTTCTTTGGAATGACATACAGCCTTAGCCTTCTGGGTTTGTAGCAGGAGTGTGGAGTATGTCCATGACTTAGCCCTGTTTTTAAGGACAGGGAAATTCTGCAACTTGCTAGCATGATTCTTAGAAAATACTTATACAGAAACCTGGATATCAAAACTAAGTCCATAAATCCACCAGCAGGCTTGCATGCCTCTTGTAAGTAGAATAACTGGAAATAGCTATACAGGTAGTATAGGCCACTACACTTGTTCTCTTTCCCAGTCATAGCAGAACAGTCATGAGCAGGAAACCAGATGATGAGAGACACCAGCATTTGAAGACAGTGATTATAATGTGGAATACTTAGCTAAGAGATTCTTTGTTTGCTGTGTCATTTCTGGAGTATGCATCCTTAACTCTTAGTTCTTTGTTGGTTTCTCCAAATGATCTTTGTTGGTAAAATGAACTGGAATATTGACTGACTCATCTAAATAAGTCTGAGGGTTGATTATAAAAAATACTCAAAGCTTTAAACTGTTTTCTTGAAGTATTTATTGTAATGTGCTTAGTGGTAAATTTGCCTGTGCTTATGAATATTTTTCTTCTTTGGCATCTAGGTACATCTTACTTGGAATGGTTTACATCCTACGTAAACAAAGTTGTAACTGGTGGTTATCCTATCATCAGAGACCAGATTTTCAGGTATTGTGACTGGGATTTATAACCTCAGTGCAAGGTTTTGATGCTTCTTTTAGAATGCTGACCTCTTTCCAAGTAGTTATGGGTATATGATACAAAAGCTGATGGTGGAGAGAGGAGAAAGCATGTGAAACTTATTGAAGATAAAGCTGTAAAACAGAATGATTAAAGAAACTTCTTTTTTTTTTTTTTTTTTTACCACCAACCAGAAGCTTCAGAGTTTGTAACTTTGTGTTAACGGAACCAGAATTTTGCATTATAACTGATCTGAAGTTTAGCTAACAGCATAGTATTTGTTCTGCTTGCCATGAGTGTGCTGCTGCTGCAGGGTTGTTCTGAATTATTAAAAAAGCAATTGTTTCAGCAAACTAGTCTCTAAAATAACACTGTTGAATATGTAAATAAACAGGACTTGTTTTGATGTTTGAATCTTCATGCACTTTTAATTTCTTCTACATATAAGCAAGAAGCTTATTTCTGTCAAACTGGGATGCTATAGAACCTAGTTCCTGATCTGTAAATTAATTTGTTGTAGGAGTTTCTAGTCTTTGGTTTTAAAATAGCATAAAGACAAATCTTTAATAAACAAGTGTGTTTTCATTGACTTCAGATCAAATTATACACCTAGCTTAATACAATTATTAATGGAGGTACAAAGAGACCCACAGCTGTATGAGTTTAGGTGATGAGGAAGTATACAGCATGAAGAGACTGCATCCTTTATATAAAACTGCCAAATGAAAAGTTAAGAATTACTTTTAACCTAGCACCATAGCGCTCATATTAGTAATTAACTAATCACTTCACATGTTTAGTTTTCTGTATTGAATGTACAGAGCTATTTGCAGAGTTAATATTTTCCTTTCTGTAGGTATGTGCATGATAAAGAATGTGTTGCTACCACGGGAGACATTACTGTTTCTGTGTCCACATCTTTTCTACCTGAACTCAGTTCTGTACATCCACCGCATTATTTCTTCACTTACAGAATCAGGTAAAAATAACAACTGAATTAACTCTTAGAACACAGAAAGACCTATGTAATGTTCACAGCATCAGTTATTGCAAATTTATGCACAGCATTCAAAAATGTTCTAAAATGAATAGGATGTGCACAACATGCTGTACTTTTTAATAAAAAAATATACTAAATCATTACCTCGTGAGGTAAGCAAAGTACCAGTCAAGTTGGTAATTGGTGAAATACAGTGCAGGGTGGCGGAAAGAAGTTCCAAGTAGCTCATGTGATTTAGAAAGGGGTAAATAACAGCAGATAGTGAAGCAGAGGCATGGAGGTGGATCCTGACAACTGATTCGGTATACTTTACCTTAGTGGGGGTTTTTGCCCAGTCTACTTTGAGAGAGATCCCAAGGACACTAAAGCAGTTCTTAAAATGGATGAAGGTGGTTACATAACCATTAAGTATGCTGTTTGGCTTCTAGAATTGAAATGTCCAAAGATGCTCTTCCTGAGAAGGCTTGTCAGCTGGACAGTCGATACTGGAGAATAACAAATGCCAAAGGTGATGTAGAAGAAGTTCAGGGTCCTGGGGTAGTTGGTAAGTAACAGATTGCCTTTCCTAACCCAGTAGAGAGAGTGGGTTTGTATTTAATGTACATGTTATGAAAGTTATTAGCTGTCCTTCATGGTGACACAGGGCAGTAGTTGTATGGTTTGTATCAAAATCATTTTGTTGCTTGAAAGAGAGAGAGATGTATCCATCTGTTTTGTCTTTAAAGTTGTTTTGCAAGGGATGTCTGGACATCCTGGTAGTTAACTGCTCTTCAGACAGTTTTTTTAACATCAGTAATTGCTGAGAATCATTTATGCATCCACTGGAATATAAAATGATCTGCCTGAATATGTTGTGGAATGTAAGTGCTTTAGCAAACTGCTAAATTGTAGTTCTACTTCAGTCCTGACTGTTGTGATCTAATATTTCACCAACAGGGGAGTTTCCGATCATCAGTCCAGGGAGAGTCTATGAGTATACCAGCTGTACTACGTTTTCCACAACATCTGGCTATATGGAGGGGTATTACACCTTCCACTGCCTCTACTACAAGGACAAATTCTTTAATGTCACAATTCCTAGATTTCATATGGTGTGTCCAACATTCAAGGTGTCTACAGCACGAATGGTAAGCGGAGATGCAGTTGTGCTTATCCTAGATCTTTTTTTTTTGGCCCTGACCTCCTGTTTTTCAGGAACACTTGGATTAATTTTAATAGGACAGTGTAACTCTGTTTAATCTTCAGTGTCATGTCATTTTTCAGTTTTGATTCTTTTCTTAAAAATCGCTCTTTTTTTCAGAACTGTTTTTCAAAAAAAAAAAGGAAATCTAAAAGTATCACTCAGTCTGTATATGAATTCCTCTCAGCTCCTGGAATGTTTATTGATAAGAAAACATTTCTGCTGCAAAAATTACAGTACTGAACAGTATTCGTATTGATAACTCTGTACAAAACATGCGCCAATTAAGGCTAAGTCTAGCTTTGTAGGCAGTTTGTACATTGGTAAAGCCATGTATCCTCATTGCTTTGACACATAATGCTACCAGTTTAGTTGAAGCCCCTCGGCCCTAGCTTTCATAGGATGCCATAGATGGCTCTGAGTCTTCTTCCTCAAGTCCTCACCTCTGTCTGGTGTCAAGGTCAAACCCGGTTGTATCGGTGAGATCAGGGGCCCTGTGGGTTCTTGACAGAGGTAGAATGTGACCATTCTTTTGTCCTGTGCCTGCACACAACTGCCCCTGAGGATGTGCAGAAATGTGTATGTGTGTGTGTATGTCTGTCTGTTCACAGCGTATTTCAGTGTTCACAATTTGCACCTAGAAACATGGCATTGTATTCTGCCTTGGTATGGCCGCACTCGTCTTGTTTTAGCCATAACAGCGTTATCTACTTTCTTCAACGAAGCATCAGTCCGTATGATGTTCGTTAGTTCTCACTGAAAGTGCATTTCATAAAGTCACTTAATGACTTCACAAATCAGTAAGATAGTTAGCTTGCTGTTAAATTATAATGTAGTTTTAGTTTGGAGATTGCAGGTTAACTGTATAATTTCTCCCTTTGCTTTGGCACATTTAGCAAAGAATGCTTTATTTATTTTATCGCTAGCATAGCCCTTATTTAGTGATTAATTCAGATAGAGCTTGGAAGTTTTTGTGCAAGCACCGAGTCTTTGCTCGGGGGTGGGCAATCCACTTGTACAGTTTCTGACATTTTTCCAGGGATTTGAGGCACTGCCATTACCAGTAGCTCTAACGGCAAGTGCCAGCAGATGTCGTGGTTCTAACAGAAAATGGCATCTCTTAACACTTGCTCACATTGATGGGAGTTGTAACTGCCTTCTCTTCAGGTGCCTCTCAACATAATTTGCTTTTCTCTTTTGCTCTACCTCTGTTTTAAAGGTAGTAATGACCCTTTGTTTTTTAACTACTTTTATTAAAAGACAACTTAAGCCACCAAGAAAATTGTACAGCTAAGCTACTGAATTCTGGCTTCACATAGTTGTACATGTGAAATAATGAAGGCTAATGCATATTTACTGAGTTAAATGTCAAGTAGTTTGGCAAAACGATCTCAGTTGCAAATTAAACTTTGTAATTGTAAGGAGCCGGGTTTAGGACACAGATCACTGTCTACTTTGGCTAATTGATGCGATAATGCAGACTAGATTTTTCTAGGCAATTGTTAGTGCTTTCTTACAGTTAGCTGGAATAGAAAATTTTAATTAAATATGGGTATGTTTTGTATTAGGAAACAAATCATAATGAATATGCAGTGGATGAAGACGAAGATTCCACAGACACTGATGAATATGAAGATCGACGTAGAGTGTTGGACATTCCTGCACCTTCTGGACGCTGCCCACGTCATACCTGATGGGATTTTTTTCAAAACAAACTGTTTTCAGAAGCTGAACTCTTTGGGGCTAGTGCATAAGAATATTTCTGACTATTGTAAATGAACTTTCTGTTGCACATCAGGGCAACAAGCATGAATGTTGGTGCCAGTTCTAATATTCATCAGAGTATAGTTTGTTTTTTTCCTGGAGTATGGCGGCAGGTTGCGGTGGGGGGCAGAGGGAGGGAGAGGAAGAGAAAGGTGTTTGGGCTTTGTTCACTTTTTTCTGAAGTGTGAAACAGCTTGATAGTCCGAGGTAATGATATCTTACATTTTTAAACTATTGCCTATTTATGATCATATTGCAAATATGGTGTGGGGAGTTGTTTTTATACAAGCATTTAAAATTAGCAATAGACAGGATGGCAAAAAAGGTGTATACTGTTGTCCTTCCTCATGAGTTTCTACTCTAGATAACTCCTTCGTAGAATGAAACTTGAGTTTGGTCTGTGTGTCCCATTTGGGTGAGATCAGGTGCTCTTACGCTCTTTTTTTTTTTTATTATTATTATTATTATTAACATAGAAGTACCCGAAAATTCTGATCATCAAATGCATAAATTAGGAATGAAACTGGCCTTATTTTTAGACAATCTGTCTTTCAGCTGAATTTTATGCTAAGTGACTGATTGGATGATGCCTTTTGGAATGTAGTGTACATGCATAATCTGCCACTCGATAACCAAGAAATTTCTCAATGACTACAAAGTATGAATTTGTAAATACATTTTGAGTTTTTTCTTTATATGATTTTTGCTGTTCAGACTTTGTCATAGGTGACAAATATATGTTGAAGTATCATGTTTCCCTAAATCCTCTATGGATTTTTGTAACTATGCCTGAATAAAAAAAGAAAAGGGAGCCTGACAGAACACCAGATGACTGGAAACTTTATATTTAAAGAAGTATCTGTTTGCTTTATCCTTTTATTTTGTTTCCGTTGTCATTAATAAACAACTTAACTGCCTCCTGTCCTCTGGAGTGCTACATGGAACGACTCTTGCCATGACTTGAGCAATAATTGTGAGACTAGCATTGCTGTAGTCAGTTCTTCTTTTTGACATCCAGAATCAGTAACTCCTATGAGGAAAACCAGTGTATTGTAGTTCCAACCGAATGCTTCCATTATTACCTAGTTATTGCTCATACAGAAAGCCTGGGTTTTTTAATAAGTCATAGTATTAGATTCTCTGTGTGCTCATCTTTCTCTAGTGCCACACAGCATTTGGATGTTCCACAGTGGTACCAGATAGAAAAACAAATACTGAGTATGGTCCCTACACCAGTCATTCAGGTGAAACATCTAGAGAAGGAAAAAAATATTGTGTTGTCCCTCACAGAAGTCTGAACAGCAGCGTAAATTGCTGGAGTGGTTTAAAAACATTTCCATTTTGAGGATTCCTCAGTATTAATTGTGAGGGGAAAAATGTGATGTTTGTGGTGTAATGCTTTTTGTTCACAGAAATTTCATCATCTGTTAAAAGGATCAGCAAAATAAGGACGTAGTGGAACTAGAACTTATTCCAGTGCTGTAAGTCTGTTGTGTGTTTTTAAGGACAGATAACTCTCATGGTTGAAGGCTTGCTGGGTACTTTACCAGGATCTGTATGTTCTTGTTAAATGATATCAGCTGGAGGTCATAAGGCTCTACAGAAACAATCCCAACTCTTGGCGACTTTACTCTTCTCAGGGAGTGGTTCTCCCTTGGGTTGTTAAAGAGGAACTATAATTATTGCTTATTGTAGAAGAAGCCAAGATAGAAGACAATGTTATTCTGTCAACTTCTGAGCACTGTGATTTGAGGGTTTGAGGCCTCTGATGCAAGCACAACTGGTGAGCACACGGCTCCTGTGAACTGTGCGTGTACGAAGCAAGAAGGTAGCCAGGTAGGGGGAATGACATGTCACTGTTACTGTACCAAATGCGTATGTATTTATAGGGAAGAAGGTTATTCCATTGCTTCAGGCAGCAATTTTAGCACATGGCGTATTGCCTAAAGCTACCAGATGTGGTGTTACTGCAAGCGTTGTGACTCATCATTATGTGCATTTGAAGTAGGGCTTATGCCAGTGATTCTCCTCACCCCACCCAAAACTCTGAAGCGTATGCCAGATTGGTATGAAAAGTGAAGCGGCCGAGTCCATTGCAGAAAAGAAGGAATTGGTTATGTTTGCCAGCACTGCTGGACTGGAGAAATCTTCACTGAGAAAGTGGGAGAGAATTGACTCAAGATCCCGTTTCAGAAGGTGGCACCTCACCAGCGCTCGGACTGAGTCAGCAAGCAGGTGTTGGGTAGGTGTCCTGGTCACTGCCACGACAGAGCACCCAACTGCTAAATGCTTCCTGTGGTCATCGTATTCTGTGCAATACGCACGTGCAGATTATAACGTATAACATATGTATGTCCTTCCCTTTGGCCACCATCCTTCAGGTTCAGCCTGAAGTTCTGTCAGCTTCTCCTGACTCGGATCCTGACTGTGTGATATTGATGCTTGGTTAGGACTCCTCCTGTCAAGGTAACATACCCCTTGTTGAACATCTGTGCGTTCAGCATACGGTTAAAAACCTAGCACATCCAACGCAAATACCTAACTCATCTTGTCCTTTTTTCCTATGTGGAAGAGGCCTACACTGACGAGCTCTTTATAATCGTGCTGTAGGATTCCTTCAGCATTTTTGTAGGCTTTTGCCAACTGGATGGTTTATTGGAGAGAACCTTTGGCCACCATTTCCTTGCTGTGACTGCACAGAATGCGAGAGAAAAACAAGTGCTGTGCCAGCCAGTGGGGGAAAAAAAAAAACCAAACTAAAGTTGCTGTGCAAGTTACTCCAGTGCTGGATGTTTTTTTCCTGTCATTGTTTAAAGTAATTTCTCATCATGTATGCAAAGAATGTAAGGTGGAAAATTCAGTCCAAGCTGGAAATACCATTTATTTATGATGATCCAGATCAATGTATCCTCTGTAGGAGGAATGGTTCCCCGAAAAAAAAAAACAAACTAAAGTTGCTGTGCAAGTTACTTCAGTGCTGGATGTTTTTTTCCTGTCGTTTAAAGTAATTTCTCATCATGTATGCAAAGAATGTAAGGTGGAAAATTCAGTCCAAGCTGGAAATACCATTTATTTATGATGATCCAGATCAATGTATCCTCTGTAGGAGGAATGGTTCCCCGATTTCAGAAGGGGAAAACAGGTAAATGTTCAGCTATGGCCAAAGTTCCTCCTTCTCAGTTCCTCACTGCAAAATTTTTGAAGTCAATTAATAAACTAAGGGATTTTTTTTTTTTATATCAAGTCTTAATTGAGTGGATTCTCATTTAATGAGTTACATACAATAACCCAGAAGCAAGCATCCTACTCCTACATCCCTTTGCTTTTATGGCTTAAACAGAAGCAAAAATATTAGAGACATTTATAAGATCATATGCTGAGCTGACTGATGATCATCTTAACTACTGTAACACACCAACAGAATCTGATTTAAGTTCTGAGTGGTTTAGGGTTTGCTTTAGGTTTAACAAATGAATTGGCAGTTGTGGTGTGGTAACAAAGATAAATCCAGAATAGCTTTTAAATATGACTGGTAGTTACAGGTATTTCATACTGTACTCAAGTCAGCACTCAGGTTTTTTTCTAAGCAGCATTGATCTAAATCTGTTAATAAAAAACATTTTTGGTGTCAT